ATGGCAGAGGTCGCGGGAAGAAGGGAGCAGCAGTAGTAGAAGTTCACTTTTCTCTCTCCAGTTGTGACTCAACAATGGTTCAGGACAAACAGCATTGTCAAGGTACCTCTCCTTAGTGCAGGTATTCAGTGAACTGTTGCAGCCAACAGTATTATGATGTTTTATTTTTCATCCTTCAAGTGCCTTGATGTGGGTGATGAATTCTTGATCTTGGGAATTTGAGCTTCCCTTCTCTTCCTTGGATCATTCCCTCCCCTTTATTAGATTAACCCTGATTACCTCCTGTTCCCAAGTACCTCTATGACTCCTACAGTTTATAAAGTTTCCCCATGATTTCATGAATGTATGGAAATAAAAATGATACTATTGGACCATCCCTCAGAATAATTTTATTTATTTTTATGAATAATGAACATGCGATTTAGGAAAATGCATTAACATTTTTTATCCTTATGCTTCACTTATGGTTTAAATATCCTAGTGTAAGCTGCTAGCTCAAAATGTGTAATACAATACAGTGGAACCCCGAGTTTCAGCCATAATTCGTTCCAGAAGGCTGTTCGAGTACCATTACCGAACGAATTTGTTCCAATAAGGAATAACATAGATTAGTCCATTTCAGACCCCCAAAAATACACTTACAAAAGCACTTACAATAATACATTTACATAATTGTTCGAGTTGGGAGGTGGCCTAAACTCGGGGTACCACTGTATATGGGTTTTAGCCCTCCCTTCCCAACCAAAGTAGCATCAAAGGTGCCATTTTGGCATGTATTGGTCCTGAACCTCAGCTTTCAATTTCATTTGCATATAAAGCATGTTGAATTACTTATTAGGGGGAAGGAGGATGAGTCTTTGGGTCTGGTCTTTTTATTGGTAAAAACTTTCAAGCACTGGCAGTCCCCTCTGACCAAACCCCAAACCCCTTTTTTGGGTGGCATACAATGCAACTATTTTTTTTTGGTGGGCATTGATTATGAACACAGTTGTAAGTTCCATGTCTCACATTTTTTTTTTTTTTTTTTTCAACAAGTCGGCCGTTCCCCTCCCCCCGAGGAAAGGGTGACCCAAAAAAGAAAGAAAATCCCCAAAAAGAAAATAACTTTCATCACATTCAACACTTTCACCACACTCGCACATTATCCAGTTTTTGCAGGGTGCTCAGAAACAACAGTTAGAAGCTACACATAAAAAAGATAAAACAACATACCCCCCAAAACGCCCTTACCCAAACCCCTCCTTTAAAGGCAGGCATTGTACTTCCCCATTTCCAGACTAAAGTCCGCTATAAAAAAAACCCGGGTTTTCCCCCTAAACCCCTTCACTAAATATTACCCTGCTCACACCTAACAGATCGCGGGCCCCAAGTCCCATTGTCTCCATTCCTCCTATCTAACACCCACGCACGCTTGCGGGAAAGTCCAACCCCTGCCCAAAAACCCCCTTTTTACCCCCCTCTCCCAAACCCCTTTCGAGGACAACCCCTACCCCCCCTTTCCCTTCCCCTATAATTTATATGCTTTCCATGTCTTCTACTTTTCCATTCTCTCAAAATGACCAAACCACCCAACAACCCCTTTTCTGCCCCTGCTAATATTTTTATTAACTCCACATTTTTTTTCCCAATTTCCACACTCCGAATTTTCTGCATTTTTACACCACACATTCCCCTTTAAAAACAACATCTCCACTGCCTCCAACCGTCTCCCCCTGCTCTTTACCACCCAAGCTTCACACCCATATAAAGTGTTGGTACTACATTTTTTCATACATTCCCTTCTTTGCCTCCATAATAACTTTTTTGACTCCACATATACCTCAATGCCCCACTCACCTTTTTTTTCCCTCATCAATTCTATGATTAACCTCATCCTTCATAAATCTATCTGCCAAACGTCAACTCCCAAGTACTAAAAACATTCACTTCTTCCATACTCCTCCCCCCCTTTTTGAACCAATTTTTCTTATCTAAATCATTTGACACCCTCTCCCCTACTCTTTCTATTTCACTTTCAACTTTCTACCTTTACACACATTCCCAAACTCATCCACTAACCTTTGCAGTTTTTCTTTAGAATCTACCATAAGCACAGTTCATCAGCAAAAAGTAACGTTCAATTCCCATTTTGAATTTTATTCCCCCCAAATTTTTAAACCCCCCCCCCTCTCCCGAACACCCTACATTTATTCCTTTACAACCCCATCTATAAATATATTAAAAAACCATGGGGCATTACACCCCTGTCTAAACCTACTTTTACCGGGGAAATAGTCTCCCTCCTTCTACACACCCTAACCTGACCCTCACTATCCCCATAAAAACTCTTTTTCAGCATTTAATAAATTCCACCTATTCCAAAACTTTTAAAATCTGCCACATTGCTCCTCATCCACTCAACAAATGCCTTTTTTTAAACCCTAAAAGCAAAAAAACTTCCCACCTTATGAAATACAGTGGGCCCCCCCCCTTAACGATTTTTTTCACTCCCGAAGTATGTTCAGGTGCCAGTACTGACCGAATTTGTTCCATAAGGAAATTGTGAAGTAATTAGTCCATTTTAACCCCCAAAAAAAACACGTACAAACCAATTACATAAATACACTTACATAATTTTCTGCATTCGGGGGGATCGTTATGTGGGGGGCCCTGTAACTGTTCACATATATCTTCAATGTAAAACATTTATCTACACCCCCTACCCCTCTGAAACCTCCCTTTCTCACCGCAATCCTACATTTTGTCTTTCCTCTAAATTTTTTTCAATTAAACCCTAACCCTACACTTTTCCTGGGTTTCTCATAAAATTATTCCCTATAATTTTTTTTCATCTCTTTTTCCCCTTTCCCCCTTTTTTATAAAGGGGCTATACATGCTCTCTGCCAATCCCTAGGTACCTTCCCCTCTTTCATACTTTTTAAACAAAAGTACCAACCACCCAAAACTATATCCCCCCCTTCTTTTTAAAATTTCTGTCAGATCCAATCATTCCAGCTCTTTTAAAAAAACCCCCTTTTATTTTACTAATGCCTCACGTACCTCCCCCAACTTTTTCTGCCTTCTTCACCCTCCTAAAAGATGGTATACCTCCGACCAGTGCATGAAATTACTGCCTCTGTTTCCTTCCTTAACATTTAAAAGTTCCCAAAAATTCTCCCCCATCCCTAATACCTCCATCTCCCCATCACTAACTCCCCTACTCTGTTTTTTAAAATGACAAAACCATACTTTTCCCCAGCTTTCTTAACTTGTTTAACTCACTCCAAAATTTTTTTTATTTTTATTAAAAATTTTTGCAGTGCCTCTCCCCCTCTATCATCTGCTCTCCTTTTGCACTCTCCACCACTCTTTTACCTTTCTTTTAACCCCCCCATATACTCTGCTCTTCTTATAACACTTCTGTTTGTAAAAAACCCCTCATAAGCACCCTTTTCTCTTTTTTCACACCCTTTACCCATCATTCCCCCAATCACCCCCTCTTTCCTCCCCCCCCACCCCCCTATAACCACAAACTTCTGCCCCCCATTCTAATACCATTTTTTAAAAATTTTCCAACCCTCTTCAAACCTCCCCACTACTCATCTTTTCACTACCCACCTTCTGCCAATATCGCTTATATCTCCCCGAACTTCCTCCTCCCTTATTTTACACTTTCACCTCCCCCTTACTTGTTTTTGGGCCCCCTTCCTCTTTTCCCCATCTACCTCTTTTCTCCCAACGAGCTACAACTAAATAATGATCGATATATCATTGCCCCCCATAAAAAGTACATCCTGGAGCCTACCCATCAACCTTTTATCCACCAATATATAATCTAATAAACTACTTTCATTACATACCTTGTATATTTATTTATCCTCTTTTTCATAAAATAAGTATTACTTATTACCAAATCTCTTTCTACACATAGCTCAATTAAAGGCTCCCCATTTACATTTACCCCTGGCACCCCAAATTTACCTACTACTCCCTCCATAACATTTTTACCCACTTTAGCATTGAAATCCCCAACCACCATTACTCTCACACTTGATTCAAAACTCCCCACGTATTCACTCAACATTTCCCAAAATCTCTCTCTCTCCTCTACACTTCTCTCTTCTCCAGGTGCATACACGCTTATTATAACCCACTTTTCACATCCAATTTTTATTTTACTCCACATAATCCTTGAATTAATACATTTAGCCCCTCTTTTCCTGCATAGCTTATCCTTCAACATTATTGCTACTCCTTCTTTAGCTCTAACTCTATTTGAAACCCCTGACCTAATCCTCTCCACTGAAACTCTCTCACCCCCTTCAGCTTTGTTTCACTTAAAGCCAGGACATCCAGCTTCTTCTCATATTCATAACATCCACAATCATCTCTTTCTTATCATCTGCACAACATCCATGCACATTCAGACTTCCCACTTTGACAATTTTCTTCTTATTATTGTTTTTAGTAATCTTTACAGGAAAAGGGGTTACTAGCCCATTGTTCCCAGCATTTTAGTTGACTTTTACAACACGCATGGCTTACGGAGGAAAGATTCTTATTCCACTTCCCCATGGATATAAAAGGAAAAGTAATAATATTATCATTATTTTTTAATTCATTGGCCATCTCACCCCGTCCCAAAGCAGTGACCTGAAGAAGAAAACCTTCACCATCATTCATTCAGTTGCTGTCTTTCCAGAAATGTGCTGACATCACAATCAGATTACCTTCCGTTTGTAATATCCCCACCCCTTCTTCAGAATGCACACACTGCATGGGGAAGTGTTAGACCCATAAAGATCATGCATTGACTGGGGGAGTCAAAAGTTGTCAGGTTTGGTATAAGGAAGAGTAGGGTAGCTCCAATTTCTAGGATTAAGCAAAACACTACATGAACTAACCTTATATCATGTTAGAGATAAGATAAAATAAGTAATCCTAACTAGAAATAGGAATAGAGAACCATTCAGTTTGTAATTATGAAAAAAATATTATTTATCTAACATTTCTTTTTGCAGATACTCTTTGGGAACAAGCTTTCAAAAGGAAGCCAATGAAGCTGTTATAGAACTAACTCAAGATGATGACACTGGGCGTAAACAGACTAAAAACTTGCATAGATGGGATCGCAATCAAAAAAAATTTGTTGGCACGCAGGTGATAATTTTATTATTTTTATTGTTTTATTTTGCCTTGTCTTGGCAGGAGACTAGTGTTGAATTAAAAATTATTATTGTTATTATTCACAAGTGCAGTAAATTCATATGGGTTATTCAACACTGCCAGTATTTTTTAAAAGAGCATGTCTTTATACCTTTTTTGCAACTTTTTTTTTTTTGTGTGTGTGACCACCTTTTTTTTTTTTTTTTAAACTGCATCCTCTCACATTAGGAGGAAAGGGGACTCTTTAATATTCTTTCCTCTAAATTTCATTCCATCTGGTTATGCCATCTAAATACATGTAGTCTCTTCATATCTTTCAAGTTAAATAAGACAAAAGGTACTAAGGTAGGAAGCACCACACAGTGGCAAACCACTTTCAACCATAATGACTTGCTTGGTTTAAGCAAAGTATCAAGAGTAAAGGCTCGGTCTTGGATAGCACTTTTCTCCCAATCTTTGTACTGGATTCTTTCCCTCATATTCTCATATCATTCTTTTCTTTAACCCCATACTGGTGAACCAGCGATCACTCTTCTGTGGCCCACCAGAAGGTCAATGCTTGCCAAATTCACATCTGTGTTAGGTACTAATGTCCATAAAACCATAGGCCAGTGAGTGCTTCTTGCCATATTCCTGCCAAAGAGCCAACAACACCCTTGAATGGGTCATATGATGAAGGCTCATGTCACATGATTTTTGTTGGCAGCTGCAGTAAGAACAACAGCATAGCAGTCGTGCCCATTTACCTTTAATTATTCTAATCTCTTCTGTTCTCATTTTTAACTTTAACAGTGCATCATGAACATGAGTTTCACAACAGTATATATGGGAGTTAGAATTGCTATGACTGCAGAGGGCATTTATTTAATCCTACTCTACTTTTTGTTAATCCTACTTCTGCTTTCTTTCATTCTTACTAAATATTACTTCTGGCTATCTGAGTTCATACAAACCTTACAGTGCAACTATTAAGGGATAGAAATGAACTATATATATATAGTTCATAAATAACAACATAGTATAGTATGCATGACATAGTTTTTTCATCTCGATCAGAGGAGGAACCAGATAAAGTGCACATTTTCCAAGGTATATATAGATTTTTCCTAGGTAGTAGGTTGGTAAACAGCAACTGCCCAGGGAGGTACTACCGTCCTGCCAAGTGAATGTACAACGAAAGCCTGTAGTTGTTTTACATGATGGTAGGATTGCTGGTGTCTTTTGTCTGTCTCATAAACATGCAAGATTTCAGGTACATCTTGCTACTTCTACTTGCACTTAGGTTACACTACACATACATGTACAAGCATATATATACACACACCCCTCTGGGTTTTCTTCTATTTTCTTTCTAGTTCTTGTTCTTGTTTATTTCCTCTTACCTCCATGGGGAAGTGGAACAGAATTCTTCCTCCGTAAGCCATGCGTGTTGTAAGAGGCGACTAAAATGCCGGGAGCAAGGGGCTAGTAACCCCTTCTTCTGTATATATTACTAAATGTAAAAGGAGAAACTTTCGTTTCTCCTTTAGGGCCACCCCGCCTCAGTGGGAATACAGCCGGTTTGTTGAAAGAAAGAAAGAATATAGATTTTTAAGAGTCAGTTACAGTATAAAAGTTTAGATGAAGATAAACTGAAGTTTTTAATACATTTTACAGGATCAACGTAAAAGAATCAAGACAGAGTCTGGTGTGTGGATTTCAGCATCATACAAGACCAACAGGTATGAGAAATGGATAGAAAAGGGCAAGAAAAAGGCAGAAGAGAACAGTGATGAAGAGGATGATGTAGAAGAAAGGAACAGCAGAAAACGAAACCAGAAATTACAAGGTAGTGTTTTGTTTTGTTTTTTAAGTGGGGAAGAGCAGTGCCTGTACATTGGGATGGCAAGGATGTAGTTAGACAGGTTGATATTGGACTGCCGCCACCCTAGGATGCAACTCGAAAATCAAATAATGCCCGGGTATCTGTTTACTGCTAGATTAATAGGGACATCAGGTGTCAGTCAACTTGATGCCCTGGGAAAATGGGTTAGGACAGGATTCTGACAAGAAAAATCTTAAGTAGTCAAATTACCAATTATACATTTGGTTGTCTATTTCACATGATAAAATTGTCACTGACTTAGTGTATCATGAAAATTTTCAAAATTTCAGATTACCTGACCTTAAAAAAAATAAACCATTTTTCCTGATATGTGGCAGCCATGTGTAGTAATACTGTAATTTTTCATTGTTATTATTTCAACTGTATTATATGTAGAGTATAATCCCTATTTTTTATGGCATAATTTTTTGCTGTAGTTTTTGACTCTGCAAATGCATTTTGAAGAATGTGGTACAGTACTGTATGTTCCTAGCATGATCATAATCTGTACTTTTCACTTTTTTCTCTTGCTCTAAAAAATATTTCTATAAATTTCCACCTACAGCCTTCGGCAAAAGATCGTATGGAAAGGCCCATCCACTGCTTCGAGACAAGCAAGGACCTAAGTGTAAGAAACCACCCAAGAGAGAGCTGAAGACAGATGATGAAATTATTAAAGAAACAAATAGAAAATGGCGTGAACATAAAAAACATGTGGAGGGCAGAATGAGGCGGCTGTCCAAAATGGCTGGAAAGAAAAAGATGCAAGCCAAGTCCCAAAAGACAGAGCAAAATGGCAAAAAAGTACATTTTAACAATAGAAAACATGACAAAGGAAAAAAGAGGCACTAATAATTTATAAATACAATAATATGTATAACATGTACTTCATCATAACGTCAGAGATTTAATACTGACACAAATGCAGTGGAATGAGATCCTTTATGGACAGTGTTTTGCCCACACAGTAGTTTTCCAAGTCTGAGAAACACATAGGGAGCGTAATGAGCTACAGAGTCAGGGAAGGTATATTAAAGCTTAAACCTTTGGTGCTTTTAAAAATGGTTAAACTAATGTATGGGTAGGGTTAGATTTGAGAAGGGCCTGTCGGCCTACTACAGTGCTACATTCTGTTCATATGTGGAAAATCGATCTAAGGGCTCAACTATGTTGTACATTGTTCGATATACTGACGGAATGATTCCAGGATAAAGCATCAATGAAGACACTCAAATGCAGGATCCAGGAATTGTCATCCATCAGTACATATTAGTTTTAATCAGAGCAATGGCTTCTACAACATCTGTACCTCTTGCAGAAATCTTTTAGATCAGTTTCCCACATAGCAACAGAAAGCCCTGCATGGTCATACAATTGTAACCATTATATACATAAAGTAGGATCACCGTATCCATGGGTCTGGTTTCCGCGGTTTACCTTGGCCAGAAAATTACCCTTAATTTTGCTTAATGTAAGAGTAAAAGTGCTGATTCTTGACTTATTTTTGCATAATTTAACAAAGTATCATAAATATGTATGTAAACGAAAAATTACTTAAATATCGGGTTCACTATCTGTGGTAAATCGTGCTGTATAGTCCTTATGGCTTAGCGCTTCTTTTTGATTATAATAATAATGCGGTAAATCGTGGAACGTATCCCCTGCAATGTAGGGTCCTGCTGTATAGTGCTCAGCACCAAGGTAGGCCAGGTGGAGGTAACCATACTTTAATGTCTAAATAATACACAACCCTGTTTGCAACAAATATTAGGGTTCCCTAAGGCTATCACCAGCTGTGTGCAGAGACTTCTGTAGTCTGCCAAGCTTCTTGGCTATAGATAAAAGAATTGCACAGATCATTGTATTACATGAGGCAGGCCATCAAACTAAGGAAACAGAAGCCATCAGCATGTGCAAGTGTTTGGTGAGGAGCTGGTTGTCAGTTGTGATGATATGCCCACACCAAGAGCATATCCATGATGTAGGTATGTCATGAAACCAAGGCAACCAGTTCCTTACTGAACAGACACAGGTCACTGCCATATGTTATTAAATCCAATGATCTGTGAAATTGTGTCAGTCTTGTTCTTACCCATAATTAGTCTGCAGCCAAAAATGCCCAACAAGCTGTACTGAAGATCACAGGGAGACCAGACATGCATCCACAAATGCCATGTCCAACACTGGTATATTTTAGTTCTTGCCCATTAGGGGCTTCTATAGCAGGCAAAATGTTTAATGGATGGTGCACTGATGTCCCACTAGGCTATTATTGGCCTAAATACTGTCATTAAGCACAACCCTTTAGGATTGTAGTCAGGCCAGCATTAATTTTTGTTGCACCAAAAGAAAGTTAGGCATTTCAACATTGAAGTTTGCTGGGCATACTTTAATGAGCACAGCTCATCCAGGTTCAAAAGTACCTTTATTCACTGCAAGTTTCATATAATTTTATTCCATATTGATATATGGAAGTTTTGCCAGGTGTGAAGATTGTTGCAAGATTCAAAATATCCTACAATAAACTGAGCCATTTCTTTGATCATGTTCTTATCCTAATTGCACTCCACCCTTTAAGAAAAGTTTATATTATCAGTGCTAAACCAGATACTTTTATAATTAAGGGTCCCCTCAAGGAAGGTTCCTTGATGTTGGCGAGGGGCTTTTGATTTAGGGAATTGGATCTGTGCTCCAGTTGCCTGAATGCCTTCCACATTCCCCCCCAGGCACTGCATAATCCTCCGGGTTTAGCGCTTCCCCTTGATTATAATATAATTAAGGGTACTGCACATGGAATTTTGCCAGAAGTACTAGCACGTATATAATTGATACCTTTACAATTAAGTGCTAAACCCACAAGGGTCATACAGCACTGCCCAGCACCCCTATTAAAACATTTTAATGTGGTAAACACCAAACTTATATTTATAACAATGGCATATTTTCAGTCCAAATGGGAGTTTGAAAGGGCTCCCTACCAGAAGTCGCCTCCCTCAAGGGAAGAATGGATTTTGCTAGCAGCCTACAGGTTATATATAAACTGAACATTAATCCAAGATTTCTGAATGCATTTAAGTATCTAAGCATAGAGGGGCACCTCACGAGAGGTTCCTTGATGCTGGCGAGGTCTTGATCCAAGGGAATACCTTACTTCCTCCCCCCCCCCCCCTTTACAGACAAAAAAAAAATAAGCAACGTAAGAAAATTTTAGTCACCACCTAATCAGTTATTCAGCATTTCATGACATTGATGCCAACACAATAATTGTTAAACCCACAAGGGTTTAGCACTAATTTGGGTTATAATCAAAGTGCCTGGGGAACTAATTCTGGTTTGAGCCAAGGTGAAGGCAAGTTACTTCCTTGGATCAGAATCACTTTTTTTTTTGGGGGGGGGGGGGGGGGGGGAATTAGTGTCTGGAAATTAACAGGAATAGTCCATGGCAGGACAATGAAATTATGATCACTTTCCCCCCCCCCCCCCTTCTAAGCATATCAGGAGCACTATTAAGTCAACCAGTAACTTGAAGAGGCACTCTGGCCAGTCCTAAATTGTACTTTTATCAAGGACCCTTAAAAATAAACCTACAAAAGCCAGTAAGTCCCCCTTCCCCAATCACCAAGAGGTATTTAATTTGGTTCCTGAACCTGTCAATGCACTAGGTTTCAGTAAACCTGGATAAATGAATAAAAGTGGTCAAATATTCATTGGTGCTAACCAAGGGTCGGTAGCTCCCAAGAACTTGGCTTTGGACATTACTAAAGTACCCTTAATTACACCAGTATTACAATCAAGGGGGAAGCGCTAAACCCGGAGGATTACACAGCGCCTGGGGGGGGGGGGATGTGGAAGGCATTCAGGCTTAATTCGGGGAACTGGAAGATACAAATTCCCTAAATCAAGAGCCCCTCACCAACATTAAGGAACCTCCCTTGAGGGATCACACCAGTAAGTCGCCCACATTATGGACATCAACTGAAAAGCCTAAAAGGAGCCTCTGAAATTGGAGCAGGAGATGGTTCAGTAATAACTAGATTTGGGTATTCAAAGTTGAAGTAAATTTTGAATTTTATTGAGATTCTTTAAATCTTTCTGCAGACTGCTTAATATTCCTCCCCTTCTTCCTCACCCTCTGCATCAGCAGAGTCCACACCAACTTCTTCGTAGTCTTTCTCAAGGGCAGCAAGATCCTCACGGGCTTCAGTAAATTCTCCCTCTTCCATTCCCTCTCCAACATACCAATGAACAAATGCTCGCTTTGCATACATAAGATCAAATTTGTGATCCAGACGTGCCCAAGCTTCTGCAATTGCAGTAGTGTTAGACAACATGCACACAGCACGTGAAACTTTAGCCAAATCTCCACCAGGGACTACAGTAGGTGGCTGGTAATTAATCCCAACCTTAAAACCAGTTGGGCACCAATCTACGAACTGGATGGTTCGCTTTGTCTTTATTGTAGCAATTGCAGCATTTACATCCTTTGGCACAACATCTCCACGGTAAAGCAGACAACAGGCCATGTACTTTCCATGACGTGGATCACATTTTACCATTTGGTTGGCAGGTTCAAAGCAGGCATTAGTGATTTCAGAAACTGAAAGCTGCTCATGGTAAGCTTTCTCTGCAGAAATTACAGGTGCATAAGTTACCAATGGGAAGTGGATCCTTGGGTAAGGGACCAAGTTGGTCTGGAACTCTGTAAGGTCAACATTAAGAGCACCATCAAAGCGTAGGGAAGCAGTGATTGAAGAAACAATTTGGCCAATGAGCCTGTTCAAGTTTGTGTATGTAGGTCGTTCAATGTCAAGATTCCTACGGCAGATGTCATATATGGCCTCATTATCTACCATGAATGCACAGTCTGAATGTTCAAGTGTAGTATGAGTAGTCAAAATAGAGTTGTATGGTTCAACAACAGCTGTAGCAACTTGAGGAGCCGGATAAATGGCAAATTCTAATTTGCTCTTCTTACCATAGTCTACTGATAATCTTTCCATAAGCAAGGAAGTAAAGCCTGAACCAGTGCCACCTCCAAAGGAATGGAAAATTAGGAAGCCCTGAAGTCCTGTACAGTTATCTGCTAGTTTACGGATGCGGTCAAGTACTATATCTACAATTTCTTTTCCAATAGTATAGTGGCCACGGGCATAGTTGTTTGCAGCATCTTCCTTTCCAGTAATTAGTTGTTCAGGATGGAACAATTGCCGATATACGCCAGTTCTGATTTCATCTGGAAGAGAATCAGAGGTTCTTAGAAATTTAAGATATGATTAAATTGAAGGATCAGTTCTTAATCATTCAGTAAGGAGTTAAATTTGCATATTTTATGGGGGGGGGGTTCGAACTTAAGGCATTCAAGGCTCAATACAGGGGATGAACATTGATCCAATTACCTAGATGGGTAGTACCGAGCATAAAGGAACCTTCTTTGAGGGAAAAGTTAGCAAACTAAGGGAAAGGTGTGAACATTAAGAGGCAAATCTAGCAAAAAAATTCTGGCCAAACTTAAGTTGAGGGAGGTGGAAATTGAGCACTTTGCATTTTTAAGATAGGAGGGTTTGTAAAGTGGTGACTGTCAGCAAGAGTAAATCAACTTTACCGATAAAAAGCTAGTGATTAAGCAAGTTTAGGTAATAAATTTTTAAGAGGGAGAGTTGTTTTGGGAAGCTTCAATATATTTATGGGGTACTGGGTGAGGGGGGGGGGGGTTTATACTCTGGAAGAGTTGGGTATGAATATTTACGTTTATGAGTAGTTAGTATGCAGTGCACAAGTGTCAAGAAGGAAAAGGGTGAAGTAGATGGCATTTCTGGAATACAGGAATTTTAAGGAGTAAGACTGAATAGTTGAAGTGTCAGGACTTCAAAAGGTCCTGAAAGGATGGGGGGGGGGCTAAGACTTCTGCAGTCTCTAAACTGCAAAAATAAGACTAGGCGAAGTGAAAGTTAATTAAAAAATTAAATCTTACCTATTACAGTTGGTTCTAGGTCGACAAACACTGCCCTGGGAACATGTTTCCCAGAACCAGTTTCACTGAAAAATGTGTTGAAGGAATCATCACCACCACCTACAGTTTTGTCTGAAGGCATCTGGCCATCAGGCTGAATACCATGCTCTAGGCAATACAGCTCCCAGCAGGCATTGCCCATCTGGGCACCAGCCTGACCCACATGGACTGAGATGCACTCGCGCTGTGGAAAGAATTAAGTGTGAATTTTATGGCATTAAGTAAAATGGGGGGGGGGGAAGCCCAAGTTAAATGTATCTACAAAAGCCATACATTTTAGATCCTTCCCTAGCAGGATTTGGATTTAGGCTTAAATCCTTTTAAGTGGTGTACCCCCAACGTGGACTTTGAAAATTTGATGTAGCAAAAATTAATGTTAATACAAATACTGGTTAAATAAAGTAGCCTAGACTTAGGCTTAAGTTCTGATGAAAGCCATTCCCCATAAATTAAGGGGTCCTACTAATTGACATTTTTGGGTCTTTTATTTGCGCAAAAATCTATACCAAAGACAAGTTAACTGAATGTTAACTAGAAATTAACATTCAGATGAACACTTACTCAGGCATTACGAAAATGAGAATTAGTGGCTGTGCCTTTTTTGTTTGTCACTATGGGAGGGGTCGCTTTTCCCAGAAGCATGGAAACTGGAGGGATTAAAAAACACTCCAGAAAAAACATTAAAGTTAACGTTAAATCAGTGTAACTGATAGTTCCGAATGTGGAGGAATTTAGATTCATAACCAGCCCATGCCTTACACTTCTTTCCTTAGTTCTTACCAGTCTTCATACTACCTATGAAAATTATGCCTCCAATTTTTCTCTAGCCACTAAATTTGTACCTACCACTATTCTACACTTGCTCGTCCCTTTACCAGTGGGAAAAGGGACAAGCGTTGCAAGCTGCCTTGTGTAGTTAAGGTGCCGTTGAGGTCACTACTTTTCTTTTTGTTCAAGACCGGGGGGGGGGGGGGGAGGTAAGCACCGGCAAACCCAGTCAGGCATTCAGGTTATCTTACGATTAGAGGCAAAGTTCTTTGACCAAACTTTAAAATATATAGACGGTGTAACAACAGACTTCAGTGCTGAGGCCATGGATGACATTATGTGGTCGGTGGGAGGGGGGGGGAAGCTTCAGCCATTGATAGGGGGGGGGGGGGTAATTAGTGTATGGTGGTAACTAGTCTGCCTAAATGCCAGCTCCGTAGTTTACCTCAAGTTCCTCACGTAAATTGAGGAATAGAACTTGGCTAGTACTTGAAAAATTATTTAGGGAGGTGGGTAGAAGGTAGATTTTATGTAGCCCATGGTGGGCTAAATCCGACTGGCTGCGATAACTCGCATGATCAAAAAGCGCCAAACCTACCAGGGACATAACTTGCTAGAATATCTAGAAAGTTTTGAAAATTCAGATTTAAAGCCACGAAACTCAATTTTCACCCACCTTCAACAAGTGCTAATACGAAGACTAAATAACACTTAACAAGCTCACAAACTGCTGAAAGAAGCACTAAACTTACCATTTTGTTCTGTAGTAGTATAAAGCTTTAAAAAAACGTTGATGCCGAGATCACAAGGAACTGTGTACGCTGCCCTCGCGATGCCTCGTTTGAATGTGGAAGGCGTCACTCCCCTTATATACCCCTGATGACGTCACTCGCCAAGCCACGTCTGATTGGCTGCCGCCTCGCCGCCCGCCGTTCATTGGTTCAAATGTGGCGCGAATATGGCGGCGCCGGGAAATTTTCCTTAATTTCATCTTGTAATTGATCGTATTTACAAATGTCAATAGATCTTTATAATCCTTTAACATTTTCCAATTAAAAATACGTAATTTTTGTTATATTTTATATTCCACTGGAGAAAGAACAAGAAAAGAGAGGTCTGACAGGCAACTGAGTCCGGTTATTTGCATAAGGTGCAAGTGACATAATACGGTAAATAATAGTTATATGTCTCCTCGTATCTCATTAATGTACATTACCGAGCACATAATTACACAGAGACAAGCCCTAGCATTCATCATTACAAACAATATGTGTGAAACAACACTGCGGTTTGGTAAGTAATATCGACCGTTGCTCTCAGCCTCACCACCACCTCCTACACTCCTCACTTATTTTCAATTATTCCAAGTAATATCCATTGGATTATTATATTCACGGCGAAGCGCTAACAAGTAGGGGCTATGACGCCTGGGAGGTGCTCCCAAGAAGGGAAGGGTAGCTCCAATTCCTTGGATCCGGGGCCTCGTCATCAAGGTATCTTTGAAGAACAATGTCGCTTCGGAAATATTTACCAATATATGAAAATATCAGGGGATTAATACACGGTTTAGCAGAATTTTTGAGGCTCAATAGTTTTTTCTACAAAAAAAAAGGCAGAATTGTTCAAAATTCTGGCATACTTGGCTTTTCATTTAATGGCAACAGTACTACCGTACATATTTACAAACATATCGGGATAAATATTAAATTTGGGAAACATAACTAGAGAGGCATGGCAATAGGTCCTATAACAATGAACCACGTGGGACCTCACTGCCTCATACCCCATTAACAATTAATATTTTCCAGGTATTATGAAGAAATAAAAAAATATAATTTTAATGATATATATTTATAAAGTGGCTGGGTGTGGGCTACATCCATCTTGTTCAGAAATCAGGGCGTGGCAGCTGGCTAACTTGGTATACACTATACTAATGGAAATTCTTGAAATGTATCAGCAAACAGTGTATTTTTTCACGAGTTTCTGTGCCTTTTTTTTTCCTTCTGTAAATTGTATTTTTTCTACTCTTATATAAAGTAACTTTTTCAAACATCAGCCAGCCGGCCGGCTCCTCCTCCCTCCCGCTTCCCCTTCCAACTCACCATGTTCCTCCTGCCACCCTACTCCTCTTCCCTCTTTGTTCCTCCCCCTCCCTGCTCCTCCCCCTCCACGAATATCCCACCCCCCCCCCAGGTCCCTCCCCCTCCATCAGGCAACACTAGTCCACCATCCCTTGCCTGCTTCTACCTCCACTTTCACTTCCACTCCCATCTCTCCGTCTCCCCACTGTCTACCATTCTTCAACTTCCTCCCCCCCTCCCTATTACCTTTCCCCACCGCTTTCCCTTCAACCTCTCAGTCTCCATTCTTCATATCCTTATCTTCCTTTCCTCCCTCTCTCCTTTCCTCCCTCTCTCCTTTCCTCCCTCTCTCCTTTCCTCCCTCTCTCCTTTCCTCCCTCTCTCCTCTCCTCCCTCTCTCCTCTCCTCCCTCTCTCCTCTCCTCCCTCTCTCCTCTCCTCTCTCTCCTCTCCTCCCTCTCCTCTCCTCCCCTCTCCTCTCCTCCTCTCTCCTTTCCTCCCTCTCTCCCTTTCCTCCTCTCTCCTCTCCTCCCTCTCTCCTCTCCTCCCTCTCTCCTCTCTCCTCTCTCCTCTCTCCTCTCTCTCCTCTCCTCCCTCTCTCTCCTCCCTCTCCTCTCCTCCCTCTCCTCTCCTCCCTCCTCTCGTCCCTCTCAGCCACTCAACATGAGTTCCCTTGAGTGAAGGTGAATCACTCGGCCTCATGACTCAAGTATTGAATCATCCTTCTTTCCATTACCACAACTCTCCCTCCACCATACTATATGTGACAACCTTTTATTCATCTATTTCCCCAATGAACATATTATACATCCCAAAGAATAATAACCCATCAATATTTTTGTTAGACACTGTGGCAGCCATTTTGATGTAGACCCAAACATTACTAGGTTAACATGGACACCCCCCAGCTATGACAATATACTATTCTTTTACTTTAAACATAATATACAAATTATTTACTTTATTACGTAAAGTTGCCTATTTTTTTTTTTTTGAATGAGGGGGACTTCCTTCAAAGTTTTAGTTTATAACTTCAGAACGCCTCATCTGATCGGCTTGAAATTTTCAAAGCTGGTGTATGGCAACAAAAGAAAGGTTCCTGCAGCTAGTGGCCGAGTTTGGCTTCCATGAGATAACTTTCAAATTTTTAACACTAGCGTATCTGACTTAAGTTTATCTAGATACAGATACACATAAGTACAATTGTAAAATACCTAAGAAGTCAGAATTGTTATTGGAGTATATAGAAGCTGCGAATTTGCCATTTTTTAAATGGCGTGTCATTTTTTTTCCGTGATATAACTTACATATGCCTTTTCTGAACTTTTAAAACTGGTATACTTAGTGGAAGGTTCGAATTGATTTTGGGCTGTGTAGATAGTGCTAATTTGCCTTTTTTTATAGAAGGAATTAGAATAGGTTCCACTCAATAATTTGAAAATGACTCCTCTAATTAACTTCAAATCTTCAAAGTTGATATTGAACTGTATTATTCCTTTTGCATACACTGAGTTACAGGGGCAGGGATAATTATGGTATATGGGAATACCTTTCTCGGAACCTGCAGAGAAACTTTTCTTTTAGTTATTTAGCATTCATAAAGCTGCTGTTATTCATGCTGTTGTTGCTGTCCATGTTGCTGTTGCTGCTCTTCACGCTGCTGTTATCAATTCTGCTATTTTTTTTTTTTTTTTGCTGTCGAGGTTTTTCATGCTTTTGTTTTTCTATCTGCATTTGTTGGTATTCATGTTGATGCTGTTATTTAAACTGGTGTTGGTATTCACATTGCTTCTGTTGTTCATACTATGTTGCTGTTATTCATGCTGTTCCTGCTCCTGAATAACAAACTGCTATGCTATGGGCTTTTCAACTCCTCTTACTGTTTATATTTATATTTTATGTATACTTTTTATGTATATTAATTATGAAAAAAATTGCTGCTGTTTTTGTTGTTGCTTGTGCACTGTTATTGCTGCTCCTGCTGTTGCGCTGTGCTATTGTTGCTGCTGATGTTACTGTTACAGCTAGGCTGTGAATGGCAGGCATGCAGACTTCCGTTACAGATCTGACTCACCCCATCACACTCTGTCACATCCTTCACACTCTCTCCAGTAATTACTTTAACCACCACCTCCCTCACTACTATTCTTGTTGTTGTAGTCTACGTAGACTATGTTCAATCCACAAGTGTATCTATATATCCTGGAACTAGAGTAAACCCTTATTTAAATATTGTATACAGCACTAAAGCAAACCTCAGTCAATTCCAAGAAGTGGTTGTAATCAGTATTTCCTAAGTGGTGACTGGAATATGACTAGACACTTCATATAAATTTTCTAAGTAATTGGTGTACATCTATAGTGTGGAAATGGGCATGTAAACCATTTGTAGCCTTCCATTTGTATACTAGCATATGATGTCATATTGTTATCTACTTAAGAGATTTATTTCCAGTTTGCTCCACTCTAACACTGCCACACCAGTGCTTTCCCGTATCTTTTCTAAATCTAAATCTGCCCATTTTGAATCCGTTTTACAAGTTATGTACGTATTAGCTTATCTTCGTAGGAAGCTTTCTGCTACATCAGATCAACTTTGTCATTCTGAAATATGGAGACTAGAACTGTGCAGCATAATCTTCAAAACAGGTTAAAATAAAATCATACGTTTGTCCACACTAGACTGCATCTTCCACTTATTATCCCTCAACAATGACCTATTTTGCAGGTAATAATGTGAGACACCAACACGATGCTAGATACATAAATGAAGACATTTTGCCCATACAGTTAGTTTTACAGATTTTGGCTTCGTGAAGCTTACTGCATATGGAAGAAACGTTGTCAATGGTAGGAAGGAAGAAAGGGAGGGAGGGAGGTTAGAAATGAAGACAGCACGAGAATAAGAGGTGAAATAAAGGAAGGTAGTGATATGTCTCTTTACCAGTACGACTCTGTTTAGTGAACCACTAATCGGTCTGAGGATCGACGACCCAAATGATTTCTTCATGAATGAGCCTCAAAACTCCATAAATGTATGCCAGATTTCCGACATTACCCTAACTCCGATAGATTTCGAAAAAAGCCATTGGCAACATGCCTATGCACTCAGCCCCGGGCCCAGACTCGTGGAACTCTGTTTTCATTAAGAACTGCAAGAAACCCCTCTCGCGTGCCCTAAGTACACTATGGAGGAGGAGCTTGGACATGGGTGAAATTCCACAGTCACTTAAAACAACGGATATAGCCCCACTCCATAAAGGTGGCAGCAAAGCATTAGCTAAGAACTATAGACCAATAGCTCTGACGTCCCACATCATAAAAATCTTTGAAAGAGTGCTAAGAAGCAGGATTGCAAATCACCTGGATTCCCAAAATCTGCACAATCCAGGGCAACATGGGTTCAGGGCAGGTCGCTCCTGCCTCTCACAATACTGGATCACTATGACATGGCCTTGGATGCACTGGAAGAAAATCAGAATGCAGATGTAATATACACAGACTTTGCAAAAAGCATTTGACAAATGCGATCATGGCGTAATAGCCCATAAAATACGTGCTAAAGGAATAACTGGGAAAGTGGGGAGATGGATCTTCAACTTCCTAACAAATCGAACACAAAGAGTAGTGTTGCAACAGAGTTAAATCGGAGGCTGCCATAGTGAAGAGCTCTGTTCCACAAGGCACAGTACTCGCCCCCATCTTATTCCTTATCCTCATATCAGACATAAACAGAGATATACACCACAGCACCGTATCATCCTTTGCGGATGATACTAGGATCTGCATGAGGCTGTCATCTGCTGAGGACGCGGTTAACCTCCAAG